CAATTTATGTCATGGTTACAATTTTTTTTTTTAATTGCTATGAAATTGAACTCAAAGTGCAACTGGCGTTGATAAGTTTATTAAATTAGTGGAACTCATTAATCACATAGACATAATGTTTTGTTTTATAAAGTTTTGTTTCAAAACAATAATTGCACTACAATGACATATCAACGTGATATTGTTTAATATCGGCTGCCATTAATTCATTTTTTTAATAATTTATTTTAAGTATAAAAATATACATTTAAAAGTTAAAGGGTCTCTTTTTTTTATTCAACAATTTCTTCATTCATACTTAGATTGTAATCTTACAAAGGAGTAGAATACATCGATTGAAAGCAATAAACACATAGAAGAGAATAACAATAAAGCTAATAGACAGCGAATCCAGAATAGATCCCGGATGCGTCAAGATAGACTTCAAGAGATAGGTTACACAGTTTGAATCGTAGACACAAACCGGAAGCTTCTTAAAAAGGGCTTCATACTCGATTGCAAGCAAATCAATCTCTTCAGAATCGATTACAAGCAAATCGATCTCCAATTCTTCTGCCATAACCGGCAAAAGAACATACATAGCTGCCTTAACGGCTGAGCTTTTGTGAACACACTCCAGAGAAGTGGTTATGGTAAATCTCTCCTTGATGGAGGAACTTATATGGACGTAATCGAGTTTAAACAAGCTCGTTACGGGAAAGTTATGGGTCAAACCCAAGAAATAAAAAACTCCGGGCTAAGATAAGAATGAAGTCGACGGGAACCTGTTGTCCCGTTGTCCCTTCGCCGACGAGGAATAGGACTGAAAATGATCTCTTCCGAGTACACAGAGAAGACATCCAAAAGCTATTCAAAGAGGTGTCATACACATCCGAATTCAGTGGAGACTATGCGCCCAATTCTGATAATAAATCCAACTTGGTAACCCACACATCCATCAGTAGGTTCGATGAAGAGTAGGCACCTGATTCCGGTAACATTCCTAAAGCAGTGCCATACACATCCAAAAATACGATTGAAGGAGAATATGAGCACGATTTATACCTCATCCAGAGAGATTAAAGACAATATCGTCCCGAAGTGAGAAGAACAGCTGTATTGCTTCTAAGAACATCATCGAAAAAATTCCTAGGAGGAGCCACAACGGTCTCTGAGCTTTGATCCGTCTCACGTACGGTGACTCTTTGAGAGGTCGGCACTGCGAGAAGCTTGATCTTCTGATGTCTCGCCGGCGCCAAAGCTACTAGCGGCGAGCCTGAAATTGGAGCATATGGCGGATACCAGTGGAGGGTGGAGGAGACCGGTGGTGGGCGATAGACCGGTTCCGTTTGGTAATCAAGTGGGGCAACGGTTGTAGTCCATAGGTGAATAAGATTAGGCCTTGATGGGCAATGCTTTGGGTTTGAGAGCCCATATTTTAGACTGGGCAAGGCCCATACTTGGAGAAGGTTGATAGGGCTGTAGGGTTGTCGGTGGCTTAGGCGTCTGCAGAGGAGCCGCCGAGATGACTGGTCGGCGAGGAGGAGCCCCGCCGGGGAAGTTGGGAGCAGCCACCGATAGTTGATTTTAGGTCGTAGTCACCGGAGACGGTAAGGAGAAGAAGACTTATGGGACTCGAGAATAAGCTCGGATCTAGGAAATGAAACCTACCCATCCTCTGAAGCAGGTCTGGGGACTTTGCCGGTGACTGAGGAGTTTGTCTCGAGCTGAAGACAAAGCAGTTCGAAAGCTTGCCGGATTCCATGGGAGCCGACATATAGGTTCGTAAAATACCAAGGCCACGAAGGCCCGAAAGTGTCTCGTCGGGAACACCGACGAAAGTTGTTACTGTTACTAGCAGATCTAAGAGCGGCGGCGGTGGTGGCTCAGGAGCAACGATCCACCTCTCAAGCAGATCTGGGAGAGGCTGAATCGGAGGAGAAAAGATTGTGGGAGAGGATTTCGAGGGGAGTAGTAATTTCTTGGCCATGAGAGCGGAGCCGGCGCCGGAGGCCAGGGCCAACGCCGGCGGTGAAGGAGAGAGCTTTTTTGTTTTCCTTTTAGCTT